TTATTAACATTTTCTCGGTCATTAGGGACCGTTTCTTTGAGAGATCCCGTCTTTTCCCTTTGAGCTCTTTTTGTGCCAGCAGAGCGCTTAGCTAAAAGCATGGATGTGGCGGCCTGTAAGAGTTTACTTGAATCTTCTGTGTTTCACTAGAAAGCCACTGTTGTGTAAAAATTCTTCGCCCTTCCAGTTCCGTTAGGACTGATTGCCTGACTGAAGTGGGAGTGGCACGAAACAAGTACACATTCAGTTACGGGGCCTTTGTTGCCCAGTGGGAGAGCAGGAGTCATTTTCAAGCCTTTCGTAGAAGGGCTGGGGCCCACCATCCCCACCGGGGTTGGCCAACTGGCAATAGAGTCAGCTAGAACCATAAAAACATTGTTTTAAACTCTAATCGGTTGCAGGAAGTCTCCAGAACCATTGGAGCCTTCGCCTCAGTCTGAGTGAGGGATGGGTAAAAGCCTAGCACGTCCCAAAGGGCAGCTATTGCTCTCCAGAAACTCCCTATGGTTCCTACTGAACTCTTTGTACCAGCGGAAAGCTTTAGTGGAAGCAAGGATGTGGCGATCCCTCCAAAGTCATGTAGATACTCTGTGGTTCCGTAGCTACTGTTGTGTAAAAATCCCTGCCCTTTTAGTTCCGTTAGGCCTGATTTCCACTAGCGCTGAAGGGGGACTGGCACGACACCAGTTCGTATCCAGTTAGAGAACCTTTATTGCCCGTTGGCAGGGCAAGACTCATTTCAAAGCCTATCGTAGAAGGGTAGGGCCATTTTCAAGGGCATTGTAAGTACCTCTCGAAAAGAAATGAGCATAGTGAAAGCCGGTGGGAAACGGAAATAGCTTCCAGTCCAGCGGAGAACAATGGATACATCAAAATGAGAGAGCGAAATGAGCGAAACAAAAGCTTTCAGGTAAAGCTTCGGAGTTAAGATGACCTTCTTTGTTGACAGGAGCCAACAGAAGTACTTAGGAGAAGTATGGTCAAACATCTCTAGTGACACGTCTAACATAAGTAAATTGAGCTACTTGTTTTGACGCCTCCAATGAATGCCGCTGGGTAGCCAGACACTATCAGTAGATTTGCTCCTCAAGCAAGGGACGTGAATTTGGGATCATTCAGGCTGCTTTGTCCCCACTCAATTTGCAACAGAATCAGTATGGCATCCATTGACGGAGAGCCTGCCGCTATGCACCCCTTTATACACCCGAAATCCCTGAGATGCGGTAGGCGTGGCTGCGTACTTCTACTGTACGTGGCGGTGACTGTGCTTCTGGTGAAACATTTCCATTTCGAGACAAATGTGATAATTTCTTTGTTGCAAAACACGAGCTTAGATGAACATGTTGTCTCAAGTTGGAATGCGACTTGGCATGTTCCTATCTAGTACTTCATCCTAGCCATGTTCTCAAAGCCACGCCTAACTCCGGTCTCATGGTATAAAGAGTTACATCTCGTCATTGTGGGAATAGTACACCCAGAGGAGTATCTCCCCATCGACTCAGATCGACGAGCCAGGAACACGCCCATAAGCGCATTTTTCTGGCGGTGATCTCCAACCTGCATCCGAATGTTCTTGCTGAACGAAGCGGAAATTTGCAGGTTTATGCTCCCTAGCCCTCCTATGCCGCTCTTATTAGACTACGCGTGAACGAGACGATCCTTAGTTGGTATTCAAATGGAAACTAGTGGCCTGCTGAAGGTTTTGCCGCGGCACAGTAATCATTCAGAAAATCGAGGCCCATTTTTGCAGTTCTTTTCACAAGGGTTTTTTTTTGCACATGCGCACAGTCTTGTTCGCAGCGGAAGTTGGGGCGTGTCCGGGGTTGGCTTTAGGAGTGCGCCAACTCTTCTTCACTAGCAGTTGTCATCTTCCGGATTCAACAGTTGGTAGAGAACTGGCTGGCGCCATGCCAAACCAGGCTCCCCCCCCCTTTCCTTGCGCCTGACACGCGCTAGCAGTCGCGAATTGCTACCTTCCTCCACCAAGCCCATTAAGGGGAGGGGAAAGCAGACCTACAATCAACTTCCACAAACGTGAGCGTCACGGTCAGGGATTAGGTGAAAAGCAGGCGCATGGATATATAGGGTACTTGAAACGGGATAAATTATCCATTAAAAAGTCTTGATCTCCCCAACGACCCACCGAATATGATCCCGATATGGACTCCACAACGATAATGCATGTTGAAAGCTACTCATGAGGTTCTTCAGGCTTCAGAGCAAGTTACTATCGCAATCAATCCACCTCTGAAGTTCCTCCTCTTGCACGACCCCACCCTCTCCCATTTCCCCTCCGTCCTTCACATCCGCTCTTCTGCTAACTAACCTTCCACCACCTTCCTGAGTTCTCCTAATTCCTTTTCCTTTCTCTGGGGTTATTCCCCAAAAAACTGCCATCGAGCACGTGAAAAACATTGCTCGCAAGACAAAGACGACCCCCCTTCCAGCGGCCAAAATACGACCCCCGTTGCTGAGGATCCACAATGTATGACATGCCCTGTTGCATAGCCAGGAGATTCATGAGGAAAGAATTATCATCGTCCATGGGCAGGATCGATCTTCGTTTAGAAACCGTGTAAGGACGAAATTAAAAGAGTGTGAAAATGTGTCCCGAATGTGCCGTATCTCCAGCATTTGCTGAAGCAGGTGACCGACGACAACTGGGCTGGCGTCGCGCCAAACCTAGGCCATTCTCCGTTTCTCTCCACAGGCACGCCCCACCGTCTGTAGCGAAAACGGCTGGCACTGGTGGCTGAAACAAAGATTCATTTCTGTTAAGGCCCACCAGGCCTTGACAGCCCATAACAATAAAAGTGAGTGACGACAAAGCTCACAGAGTAAGCCTCAGTAAGCTGCAAAACATCTCGGTTTG